GTTTTTTTATTTCTTCAATTTTGGTTATTTCAGTTGACTTCGATTATTTTAATAACACTGTGATTTGAGTCCCGAACACCTTGAATTAGGAAATAGGATTTCGGAGTTAGAATATTCACCGGGACTTGACTTGAACTAGAAGTTTAACTTAGTGTTTTGAATAAGATCGGAAGAGGTAGTTATTTCTACTTTCCACTTTGAAGTTGTAGATTGAAGTGATTTCTCTAAGGAAGGATTTGAATATCTAAGGGTTTCTTAGCGGTCACGCGTGGGCGTTCACGCTCTAGTTTCAGAGGGTAGGATTGGTTGATTAGGGATGCTGGAGAGGATAGAGGCGAGCCGGTTGGTTTTTGGGTCAAGCGGGGAGCCTCGATAGTTATGATTGGATTTTTGGACATTAAGGGTGCAGCTGCGTTTTGACTCTTAAGAAAATTCTGTTCTCACGGAACGTTAGAATTGGAAAATGTCACTTGACACTTATGACTTTCAGATTTTTAGAGTTCGCCGTGTTCGGTTTACAATTTCAGGATGAAAATACTTATCTTACATATTTATTTCGACTTTTATGATTTTTTGAAAAGTTTATGATGCACGTGTGCATCCATCTGTTTTTCGGTTTCGTTTATCACGTGGGAATGGTATTTTTTAATGTTTCTCAAGAAAAAATGTGGTCTGGACACTTGAGTGTTATTTCTTAAATGTAATTAATAATTTCTTATTTTATTGGATTGGAAAAATGATATTTGAATATTGGGCCTTATATACTAATTGCTGGTAAGACTCGACAGTCGATAAAGTAAAGTTAAAAATTTAATATAACGCCATCAGGTGGCCAAGGTAGGGACGTAACAGAATCATAGAAATTAATTGAACATACCGTCCTGTGGTAGATGAGGGAATTACGACATAACTCAATCGATGGCTTTCTAGACTTATTCCCAATTTGGACCTTTCCTTTTGCTGGCAAAAGTGACGCCAACAACTGCAATATTAGCACTTTGTTTCCATCCTCTTGAAGTTTCTTGTTTTTGCATAGCAATTCCTTCACCAATTCTTTGCCAATGCTTTCAGTTATTCTCTTCTTATGTTTATTTATGTACTTAGTAATCCTTTCTTTGAAAAGAGGCCAATTCGCGTCCATCGAGTCACTTTTGTCCTCATGTAAATGGATAAAATCGAGCGAAACCTGAAATTAATCGAGTGTAAAAATCACAATATAATGGGGCTTTTTGTAGGATACACACTAGTGCAGGATGGAACCAGGTGAATCACTTGAAATTAATTTTTAGATAAATATCTCCGAAAAAAAAAGTTATTCACAAAAAATTCACTAGTCCCTTTTCACTTCGAGGTATTCAGTAAAAACTGAACTCTGTGAAGTTGTTCTATCCCATTTCATCGATTTATTATGAAATAAAAATTGAAAATTAATAAATTATAGTCACCAATTCATATCCTTTCGCCAAGCGGATGGCCTTGTATTTATTTGTGTACTCTGCAATTGTCAAAGATGAAGATGAGTTTGCTTCGTATTTGAGACGAAATTCTCTTGACTGTTTCCAATATCTAACGATCAAAGCCCAAGGCTCTAGATTGTTTACCAAAAAGTCTGGAGTCTTTTTGAGAGATTCATCCTCAAGGGCTTTGGCTGTGAAAATTTTTGTACAATATCAATAATCAAAATGATCACTCATGAATAAAAAATGAAACTATCAATAAAATTGTAGAAATTACCCATCAGTATATACAGCATGTCAACCTCATACGTGTCTTCTTCATCTTCGTCATCTGAGTCCTTTTTGGTGGATAAAAGGTATTTCTTTCTCATCCAGTCTCGAACATTTTCAACTTTGTTGAAGAGTTTACCATAGGGTGCTGTGTGCGTTCGGCCCTTCATTTGGGCCTTGTGGTACCAAATATTCTGAAAGAAGGATCAATATTTTTTAGAATATTTGGAAAGGCAAATAGTTTACTATAGCTTTCGTGTCATTGGAAGTGACTTACGACTCCTGGGAACACCGCTAGAATTTTATCGGAGATGGATTTGTATTCGTATGGTGTAGGACTGTTGACCGTGGATGGGTGTAAGAGATGAACGTGACATGAAAATCGTGAATGAATAGAAAAAGTAAAAAAAAATAAGATAAATTAACGAGTGACAAAATTATGGGATGAAATTGAATCAGGGATGAGGCGTCAATGATTGTACATAAATGAACAACAATGACAATAAATGAGACGACCAAGTAGTAATGAAAATACCATAATCCGTTGAATTAACTTACTAGACAGTCAGGTACGGTAGCCACTTGGCCAGAATCTCTGCAAGTAATTTAACGTCATCGTCACCCAGATATCCATCCTCTTTGTATGCACTCAAAATACCCCTCCCATCTATACAACCATCCAGAAATTGACGGAGATCCTAAAAATGATTCAAAATTAATAATAACTCTTTCAATATTTAAATTGTGCAATGATAAAGCGTCATGAATCAAGCTCTCCTCTGAAAAAAATCGATTCAAGAAGGAAAATGAAATACGACCTTTATCTCGGTGAATAAACTTTCTTTTGAGCTTCGTTTTTCAAATCCTCATCATCGATATGATCACATTTTTAACCCATGTACTAAAGAAAATTATGAATGAGATTGTTTTTTTTTCTCAAAAATTATTCGCGACTAGAATGTCAAGAGACATTGTTTCGAACCGCTGGAATTCCTCACATTGTGTCATAAAACCACTTATTTTCAAAATCATAATATTTGTAATTCCCCAGAAAGAGAAAAAAAAACGAACTTCGACGTTTTACCACTTCACCAATCCTCAAAAAAAAGAAATATTAAAATGAATGGAATTTACCAAATTTATGATTGCTGCTAATGTCTCATTAAATCGACGTCTTTTCTCAGTTATTTTCTCGACATTCACCAATGGCTTCGATGATTTTCTCTTTCTCGTAGCTTTATTAGCAGTATCTACTGTTGGAGACTCAGTTATAGAGGTAGGAAGTGTAGAAACATCATCTCCAAGAAAATCGAGTGTAGGATTATCAGGTACAGGTGATTCAGCATCAACAGCAGTACTTAGTCCAGCCTGTTCAGACGTACTAGGCTTAGCCTGTTCAGCTGTACTAGGTTCAGCCTGAGAATCCTTGGAAAATTACGTATATGTGTAACAAAAATATTTAAATAACCAAGAAAATCAGGAAAAAAGGTTATTCACCTGCGGTTTTTCGCTTTCTCCTCTTCTGTCTTCTGATTCCTCGTTAGCTGAATCAACAGCCGTGATACTGTGCTAAATATTTTATTTAACCATTATTTTCAATTATCAGAAGTGATACAATGTGGAATAAAATAAGAAATCCACCGTTACCCTTTGTTTCACAAGGAAAAAATCACTAACCTGACTTAACTGTTGTTCCAATTCATCAATTGTACTGTCTGCTTTTCCTTCTTCTTCTTCTTCTTCTTCTTTTATAAAAAAAACTGTTGAATGTATTTTTAAAATGAAATTTCTCGCCCAAACATAACTCCGTTTGTGTGAGAAATTCATCGATTTGTTCGGATGTCAAAGTCGATAAAACATCATCGTTAATTTTATGAGCTGAAAAATTATTGGAAGGAGGTTAGCTTCTCAGTAATTTTCCTCGATATTCAATCACTTCGACACATCGTGAAAACGGAATATTTGAACAGAAAATATCACTTACTCACAAATAAATGTAGGATATGCACTAGTTTACACTTTTCGAGAAGAATTTTCACTTGTTCAAAGCTCTTCGATTCTTGAGACATGTTTGAGCATTTTATTGTTTACGTTTTTGAATATCGCGATCGCAACGTAGATGGCAGCGCGCTCCGGTGGCCTGTGGGTGAACTGCTTATAGGGGGCAACCAATGAGATCGCTGGGTATTCTGGTGCACATCAAGGCATGTTTTCGAACGTCATTTTGGACCAGAACGGTTTTAGCTGAATGATTTTGGAGCAGAATGGATTTTGATCGGTCGAAATTTAAGGTAACTCTCACACATATTGTGAAGTTGTTAGGAGACACACAACGACCCTTCATCGAAGGGGAAAAGGTTTTCGAAGCCGATCATATCGTGATCTGTGGAGTGAAAGATCGCAACCCAGAGTCGATCTACATTTTAGCTGCTTTTCAACACTCTTCCAATCTGAATAACATGCACGAGATCAACATATGGTTTATTAAATGCCATATAGTTGCACCGATTTGAAGCAGCAATGGGGTGAAATCAAGTCTACCAAGAAGTTTTCAGAGGATCAAGTTGTTTCCATTGATAAATGCTCTTGCTACAAACCAAGTAAAGGAACTGAATTTGTACTTGACTAGGCCTTGAATTATTTTCTGAGAGATACTTCATTGAAACGTAGATATTATGTTGAGAAAATGTCGGTTTCTGTAAAGAAAATGTCGACTTCTGTAGAAGTATCAACTATTTTATCATGATTATGTCCGGAGACATTCAGAACGGTTTTTTGAGCATCGCTAAAAATTCCTTCGGTTTTTTGTTGATGAAATCGTAAATATCCCCGAAGCTATTGGGTTTATTTAGGAATGTCAAAATAGGGGAGGGTAGGGCAAAACTAACCGTAGGGCAAAACGGACCACGTGATTTTTTTTCTTCATTTTTTCTTTTTCTAATTTCATGAAAGACCCGGAAGGTCAAATCAAAGAGCCAAACGGTCCAGATCAAAAGCTGGAAGGTCAAATCAGAGGCTGGAAGGCCAAAAGGCCTAGAGAGGAAACTGGAAGGTCGAATTAAGGAGCCAAACAGTCTAGAGAAGAAGCTGGCGGCCAAATCGAGTGGTGAAACGGCCTGACTAAGAAGCTAAAAGTTGAAATCAAGGGGCCAAACGCTTTGAACGAGAGGCTGGAAGGTCGAATCAAGGAGGCAAATGGTCTAGTGAGGAGGCTGGAAGGTGCAGTCAAGGGGCCAAATGGTTTAGAGAAAAGGCTGGAAGCTTCAATCAAGGGACCAAACAGTCTACCCCCACAGGCTGAACAGTTTTTTATTAGCATTTTAGCCTTTGCGGTGACACGTTAACCCCCTTTATTGGACCTTTCAGCCTCTTTTCTAGACCATTTGGCCTCCTGAATTTGACCTTCGAGCCTTTGGCCCCTTGATTAGACCTTACAGCCTCTTGTCTACACTGTTCGCTTCTAAATTTGACCTTTAAACCTCTCGTCTTGACCGGTTGCTCCTGAACTCGGCCCTTCAGTCTATTATCTAGACCAGTTGGTCCTTTGATTCGACTTTCAAGCCTACTTTCTACACGGAGAGAAAAGTCAGGGAAAAATTGTGGTCCTTGGCACTAGAAACGAGGCGCAAACGTCCGTCCTCCTATTTTTTATTCGAAAAAGAAAAAAAAATCTGAATCTGAGGGAGAAATTTTCACGTTTATTCAAGTATTTTTTGTAATGGAGCACGAGAAAAATTATTGTACAGTACGAGAAAAATTAGTGTACAGCACAAGAAAAATTCTAGTAAAGCACAAGAAAATTTGGAGTCTTTACATTTTGTTGTTGGTTCGGTGGATTAATCTTGATGGTTCGCATATAAAATGTAGTTCGCTGGAGAAATTTTCTAGTGCCGTCAATAAATTTCTCGTGAGTTCAGCGACAATTCTTTCCAACGCTGCCAACAATATTCACCTGGAGCCGTCAGAGTGGGGATCGTCGTAGGGGTTCGGTTATCTGCGGCCATGTTGGCCTCCCACCAGCCCCGTGCGCCAGCATACGCGAGAATTATCTCGATCAAAACAACGTTGCGCAACGTTTACGTACATACACGTGGTCCAGCTGTTTGTTATAAGTGGAGATTGATAATTATCATTTAACAATTGGTGGAAAACGATTGAGTTTTTGTGAAAAATATGGACAGCATCAGTTTATACAAGCCATGTAAGTATTTTCATGTTCCTTCTATTTTAAATTCGATAAACCACAGTGTACAGATATGGGCTTCAAAATCTTCGTGTATTTTTCAATCTTACAATTTCGCATTACTTCTAATTATTTTCATGGATAGTACGGTTTCGCGGAATTGAAAAAATAAATTGCTATATTGGTGTGTTTGCATACAGTGGACTGATAATAAGTGATTGAGGCATGAGAACAGGAGGAAGAAGGTTAAGTGAGACATAATAAAATGGATTTTCGCCAGGCCTTGTGTTTATTTAATATTTCAATTGGTGACAATTGCACCTAGAAACTCGAAATACATTTTATAAAATAGAGGGGGATGGAAAATTACTTTACAGAAGGGAATTCCGCGATCCGGCGATTTTTTAGACTAAAAACAAAATGTCTTTCCCGAATTTTTGGGGCTTTTGAGGAGGGGGGGGAGTCGCCATATTCATGTACTTAGAAATATAAAATCTATTTTGAAAAATAGAGAGGGGGGGGGGGGAAAGTACCCAACTGAACACGATTTTGCGATGACACACTTTTCCCAGTATATGCCTGAGGACACAATCCCCTCGTTCACTTTTCAAAACACCCATCTACGAAGCATTATGACGTTATAGCG